CCAAGCTCGGCCTCGCCGTGGCCACGCCCCCGGCAGGCCCCGCCCACGCGCCTCGGCCCCGCCCACACTCGCCTCGCTCCTGCGGCCCGCTCGGCTCCGCGCCCCTGCCGGGCTGAAAGCCCAGGTCTGCCTGGTCGGAGCCCCAGAGGGACGCGGCTGCACTTCCCGCACTGGGCGCCGCGCCGCTTCCTCCCTCGCCAGCCTCCTCGTCACCCTCCACGTGAAGCCGCCGCCCCCTCACCTGCGGCCGCCTCCGCCCAGCGCGCCGTCTGCACCCCCCACCTGCGCACCCCGCGCACCGGGTAATCAGCGCTGCGGTTCCCCAGCCTCCCCCGGCTCTAGTGCTCTGATTCTGTGCAGAGCGCTCCGGACGGCGGCCTGGGGCCGCGGGGTTCCCGGGGGCTCTGGGGACCTGCGCCCTCCTCTGCACCTGCCGCCTCCAGGGCTGGGCCTGGGGCGCTGGCGAGGACGGCCGGCCTCCGGGTGTGGCTCCGCTTGCAGAGCAGTTGGGGTACGACCTGGATGTGTCCAGGGCTGCCCGCGAGGCGACTGGACCTCCCTTCCTCCCCCAGCATTCCCTGCGGCCTTTGCCCTCGGGGGAGACTCCAGCGCCCGCCTCTAACTGAGACACGCCAGGGTGCCCCCAGGCACAGCCCAGCTCCCCTCCCCTCCGGGGAAGCCGCAGTCATCTTAACGGGGTCCCTGTCCGGCCAGCCTTGGAAGCCACAGAGGAAGGGGGGAGCAGCAGCCTGCTTCCCGGCCTGTGGACTGCCCTCTGGGAACTGAACGCGGGGCCTGGCTCCTGGGACCTGTGCCAGGCCCATGCTCCTACCATAAATCAAGAAGTCCCGAAGAGCACAGAGTGAAGGGAGGGGGCTCCAGGGCTCTGGAATCCGAGTATCGGCTGCAGCCTGTCGCTGAGCTCTGGGTCACAGGGCGGGCTTTGAGGTCTCCCTGTGCCTGGGAACTTGCAGTAGGCAGCGATTTGCGGCCAGCTGGCAGGGTGGGGAGAGCTAGCCTAGCACCTGCAGGAGGTCCTGCTCCCCTGGGAGCCCCTCCTCCAGTTTCCAGCTCCGTTGATGAGGGAAGGTGGCAAGGGGACTGCTGGGGGATCCCCACTGGGGGCCCTTTGGAAGTAATGTAAAAAGAACCTGCTAATTTTGCAAGCATATGTGACCTGGTGTGCGCACTTGTATTTTTGTTAGCACCTGTTTACTTCCTAGCTTGTGTACTAATGTGTTTTGTTTGTCCTTTCTAGACTGCTCAGTAGTGGCGCAAGTTTGCTGCAGGTCTGGGTCCATTTCCAGGCGCCCTCCCAGCTCCAGGCAGGAAGGTCCTGGGAGATCTCAGGGACTCTGGCTTCCGCGCCCCACCACGCCTGGTTCCTGCCAGGCCGTGTCCTGGGCAGGTGTCTGGCCAGAGGAGGACAGGAGCTTCCTGCTGGAAGTCCTGGGTTAGGACCCCTGCTGGGACATCTGTGGCCTTCTGCCTCATCCACCCATCCTCTAGAGGAGGGGAAGGTCATGAGATGTCACCTCCTGGATCTCACCTCAGCCCAGTCCCCACCCAGCCTGGAACCTGGGCACAGGAATGGTGAAACATCTGATGACCTGAACACGAAGGTGCGCCCTCCGGCCCAGGGGACCCTGTCACTGCAGACAGCTAAGCTAGGTACAAGCGTCACAGCAGCCAGACAGGGCCAGGCGCTCAGGCGCCAGTGCAGAGGATGACACCTATGGCCGAGGTCGCCTGTTTGGAAGGCCAGGCCTCAAGACGGACAAAACGAGCAGGCCGAACTTCTCCTTGGGAAATGAACCACAGCCTGGAAGCTGCTCACCTGCTGGATGTCAGGCGCCCTCGCCCTCGCCCTCGCCCTCGCGGGCAGCTGGAGCCCCAGTCTGACTTTTCCTAAAAAGGCTCATTTTTCAGGTGCACTCGCCTCGCGGCCTGCCTCCCATTGGATCAGTCTCACGGGGTGGCTCAGCTGTCACCTCATTGGTTGGTCCTAGTTTCATCTCGTGCTGTGCCCGCCTCATGATTTTGCGCCCAACTCATCATCTTGCCCTGGCACATTCCTCTGTAAGATGGGGCTGCAGCAATCCCCTCTTCTGGTCCCCTTCTGTCTCTCAGGAGCTCTCTTGCTTTCTCTCAATAAATACTTCCTGCTCTTAACCCCCATTGTTCCTTAGAATTCATTCTTCTATTTTGATGAACAGGACATTGAGCAGGTTGGGGGTTCCTCTTACCATCACAACAGACCAAAGAGGATGCTGGGAGCTTATGCTTCTTTTTTTTTTTTTTCCGGAACCGGGGATTGAACTCAGACCGTTGCGCTTGCCAGGGAAGCGCTTATTCCACTGAGCCATCTCCCCGGCCCCTAGCTTATGCTTCTTAAAGAAATCACACCGTACCTGTGTGTTCAACACACCCTCTCTCCCTTACAGCGCCAGACACTGAACCCGGGGCCTCGTGCTTGCTAGGCAAGTGCTCCCCACTGAACCACACCCCCAGGCTTTTTGGAAACGGCGTCTCTTTTAGTTGCTCAGGCTGTGTTCAGACACATTGCGATCCTCCAGCCTCGGCCTCCTGAGTAGCTGGGATCACGGGCGTGTGGCCCAACACCCGGCTGGCCTGCGTGTTTATACACCAGTTTAAGTCACAATGAACAAGGTCACTCTCTAGTGATCAAGCCAAGCGAAATGCAAGGCTTTCCTAGAATTGTCTACCTTGGTTCGCGTTCTTAGTGGAGCCATCGTTGGGACATCGTCATTGCTAAGATTTCCCATTGTGAACGGAACCTGTTCCTGGGTGTCCAGCTCATTCTCACAGCTACCCCAGGGGTCTCAAGGGTGTACCCCTGCACCGACTCGGGGACACAGGGCACTTCATGGAGAAGGGCCCTGGGCCCCGCAGCAAGGCCACCCGCCGGCCACCTCTCAGCTAGGTCTCTTTCCCCAGTTCCAAGCTACATTGACTGGGGAGGGGCTGAGGGTCACAGGGAGGAAGGCTGCGACTGCCCCCTTGTGGGCGATAGTGGTATCGAAGCCCACGGTCCCAGGACCACGGCTGTCCCTGGGCAGCCTAGCTTGGGTCTGGATGCTGGCCAAAGTCACAGCCCAGGCAGTGCAATCGGGGCCACGCGTCTAGCCCCATCTTAGCATTTGCTTGAGGCTCCTACACAGTGGTGACGAGGCTTGGTCCCTTCAGTCCTGAGCGGTCATGGGGTGCTGGACCCCAAGGGGGTGTGCACCCAGGACTGGAAGGGGTCCTGTGCTCACCCCGGGCCAGGCTTCCATCCTCCTCTTCCACACCCACCGATCTTGAAAGCCCACAGGTGGCCCGGGGTCGAGTCAGGGACTGGGCTGGGTTTGGAGCCCCCCGCCCCCTGCCATGAGGTGCAGCCACCGGCATTGGTAGCCTCTGTGACTTCTAAAGACACTACTTTGTAATGTTTGTGCTGCTTCTCTGCTGGAAATAATAGAAATAGTCTTTGACTGGAGGAAAAATAACATGCTGAGGAAGAAGGATCAGACCACTGCTCGGCTGGTAATTCCCGGGCCAGATTTCCTAAGCACACCCTGCCCCTCCTTGCTGGGGAGCTGCGGGGGCCTGTGATGTCCCCAGCCTGACCGTGGGGGTGGGGACCCTCAGGGAGTTGAAAGAGAGAAGTCCCCAGGGAGAAGCTCAAAACATCCTTTACAGCTGCCGGAACTATCGGCTGCGCCAACCCGCGGAAATAGCCCGGCTTTTGTCTGAAATTCTACAAACACATCTCGGAGCAGATGAGCGGAAGCTGGCCATGGGGCGCGCACCTTGGTCTCCGCACTGGGAAGGCTGAGGCATGAGGGTCACCACACAGCGAGCTCAAGAGCGGCCTGAGTGACAGACTGAGACCATGTCTCATAAAAATAAAAGTACAATAAACCCAGACGACTCGATTAGCCTCAAAGGGGACTCTGGGTCTCCGTTCCAGAAGCCCACAGCAGCCTCAAGGCGCGCAGCAGTGACCGCCGTCGCGCACTTCCGCTGGTGACAGTTATACAATCAGGCACCACCCTGGTGACAGCCGGACAATCGGTAAAGGGCCACGCTACACCCAGCCCTGTCCCAGAGGGCACCAGGCCAGCATTCTGTCCTCAGCCACGGAGTCCCAGGTTCATCTCTCCTCCCCCCGCATCCACTGCCTGAGAGCGGGACAGGACCCCAGCGTGCCGGCCTCACAGGGCCTGGGGAAGGCCAGGAACTCCCTGCATGGGGGGCTGAGCCCCCACCATGTGACCAGTGCCAGACCAGGGCCGGTACCCCCATTCCCAGGTCTTGGAGCTCTCGTTCGGGACCTGGGCTCCCTCTGTGATTTCACCATGGGCTCCTACCTGGCTTACACCGCTGTGAATGAGTGCTCAGTGTCTGCGTACCTTGCTGCAGCCCTGCCCCATCCTTTACCCGGGGCAGCAGCAAGGGACACTTAGGGGCAGTCACATGGGCTGCTGCGGATCCCCTGAGGGTCCCCACCAGGTGTGCCGGAGGGTTTGCAGCACCCACCCTCTGGCCCCCTGTGCTGTGCTGCTGGACACCGGCGGTGCCACCATTCTTGGGGGCCAGGTGGCGTGGATGCCCCAGACCTCAGCATGGTCCCTGAAATGTTTTCCCAAGATCTCCCAGTCCCCATAAATGG